AATATTCTTATCATTTAAAATGCGAGTGGCGCTCTGAGTTTTCCAAATTCCCTTAATTACTAAATTGTCTTTGCGCTATTGACTTGATCATTTCTGTAAGTCTAGTATACTACTGCAGATTTTATTGGGTAAAAAGACTCTAGATTTTAGAATTTTAAATTGTTAATTTATTTTCCGACCAAAAATGCAATTGTTAATTTGCCTTTGGCTGCTAGTGGGAAAGAGAACGAATTTTTTTTTAACAGTAAAAAGTAACATTTATTGAAAAGTAGAGTAAAGGTATTTAAATCCATAAACATTTTAACTTGAAAAATATAAATTTATAAAAATCGAAGAACCCTTCCTAATATATTAATACAAGAGCAACTCCGATTGTTAAAAAATTTCAACCTGCACTTTATCAATACAAAGCAGAAAATAGAAACTCAGATTCTGGAAGCTTACTGTATGGTTCGACACCACACCCGTGTCGGGTTTTTGTTTTCTTTTGCAATTTCTTTAATGATAAAATATCACATCTGGTCATCCATATTTTGTATAATGAGCATTTAGATCCCAAAACTCAAGATTCATTCATTTAGGTCCACACCTTCCTTCTTGCAATTTAGTCCCTAAACTTTTAAAGGATATTCATTTAAACCCAAAAACTCCTATTCTTATGCATTCACGTCCTTTTCTTTTCTACCACCCTGGATAGACTTCAAACACACCACAGGGTTTTGCATCCAATCCAAGCTGGAAAACATACAGCCAGCAACCCTTCCTCTAATCCAGAAAAATATCCGTATCTGAATAAGGTCAAAAAGCCTTTTCACAGTGACTTCTTCTTGTCTGAAAATTTTTCTATTTTTTGCTAGCCATACAGTCCATGTGAGGTCAAACCAGATAACTTCCCAGCCCTGTCTAACCCATTTATTTTTTGAGATGAAGACATGATGTAGAAAAGCCTCTTTGCACTCATTATGAACCACACAGCTCACTCCCCACCAATTTAGACATTTACACCACAATTTTGAAACAAATGAGCACTCCAAGAACAAATGATTTGAATCTTCAAGT